AAGCTGAAGGCATGCAGCGCTACCCTGGACTCAAACTATACTACAAGGCTACAGTAACCAAACAGCATGGTACTGGTACCAAAACAGAGATATAGACCAATGGAACGGAACAGACAGAGCTTGTTCTTTTGGCTTAGGATTGTCTTGGCAATGTGGGGTCTTTTTTAGTTCCATATGAACTTTAAAGCAGTTTTTTCCAATTCTGTGAAGAAAGTTATTGGTAGCTTAATGGGGATGACATTGAATCTATAAATTACCTCAGGCAGTATGGCCATTTTCACGATATTGATTCTTCCTATCCATGAGCATGGTATATTCTTTCATTTTTTTGTGTCCTCTTCTATTTCCCTGAGCTGTGGTTTGTAGTTCTCCTTGAAGAGGTCCTTTACATACCTTGTAAGTTGGATTCCTAGGTATTTTATTCTCTTTGAAGCTATTGTGAATGGGAGCTCATTCATGATTTGGCTCTCTGTTTGTCTGTTACTGGTGTATAAGAATGCTTGTGATTTTTGCACATTAATTTTGTATCCTGAGACTTTGCTGAAGTTGCTTATCAGCTTAAGGAGATTTTGGGCTGAGACGATGGGGTTTTCTAAATATGCAATCATGTCATCTGCAAAGAGGGACAATTTGACTTCTTCTTTTCCTAACTGAATACCCTTGATTTCTTTCTCTTGCCTGATTGCCCTAGGCAGAACTTCCAACACTATGTTCAAAATACATGATTTCATTCTTATTTATGGTTGAGTAGTGTTCTGTGGTGTGTGTGTACGTACATGTGTGTGTGTTTTCTTTATCTAATTGTCTGCTTAAGGACACTTAGGTTGATTCCAACACTGTGCTATTGTGAATAGTGCTGTGATAAACATACAAGTGCAGGTGTCGTTTTTATGACACCTTGGGTAGGTACCCAGTTGTGGGATTGCCGTATTGAATGATAGTTCTATATTTAACTCTTTGAGAAATCTCCATACTGCCTCCCATAGAGGTTATACTAATTTATATTACCACCAACAGTGTATATGCGTTCCCTTTTCTCCTCATCTTTTTGACTTTTTAGTAATCGTCATTCTGATTGGAGTGAAATGGTATCCTGTTGTGGTTTTAATTTTCATTTATCTGATAATGAATGATGTTCAGCATTTTTTTATGTTTCTTGGCCGCTTGTATGTCTTCTTTTCAAAAATGTCTTTTCATTGTCTTTTGCCCACTTTTTAATGGGGTTGTTTTTTAACTTCCTTTTAATGATTTAGAAGTATTTGAAATATGTGTAGGATGCTTATTCCTTTGTCATATGTGTTGCAAATTTGGTTTGCCTGTTGCCTTTTAGTCATCTTTGGAGAATTTGGGGGAAATTTTTCAATTCTTATTAATCAAATCAGTCTGTTTTTTTTCTTTTTTGTTCCCACCTGCCTTTTCCTATATACTTAGAATAGCTTCCTCAGCCTAAGATTAAACATTTACTTGTATCTTCTCCTGGTGCTTGTTTGACTTTACTTTTTACAATTAACATCTGCAGTGTATTTTAGTGTAAGAGGTGAGGTCGGGGTCCTGACTTCTTTTCTCAACTAACCAGCTGATCTGGAACCTTATGATATGTAGTAGGATTCTTTGCCTCTGTTATCCGCAGTCCACCTTTAAGATACACTGAATCGCAATCTATTCTGGCTTCTCACTCGTCTCTCTGTTATGCTATATAGAAAGTCGGTTTACTTGCATGCCAGTGTGATACCATGTTATTAATGTGGCTGTGAATTGTAACACTACTTTTTGCCATACCACTTCTTCAAATTAGTATTCTTTTTCAAAATAATCTTGGTTATTCATAAACATTGATTCTTACACATGGACTTCAGAATTTTTTTTTTTTTGAAACAGAGTCTAACTCTGTCGCCCAGGCTGGAGTGCAGTGGTGCGATCTCGGTTCACTGCAAGCTCTGCTTCCCAGGTTCACAGCATTCTCCTGCCTAAGCCTCCCGAGTAGCTGGGACTACAGGCGCCCGCCACCACACCCGGCTACTTTTTGTATTTTTAGTAGAGGTGGGGTTTCACTGTGTTGGCCAGGATGGTCTTGATCTCCTGACCTTGTGATCTACCCGCCGGGGCCTCCCAAAGTGCTGGGATTACAGGAGTGAGACACCACGCCTGGCCTAGAATTGTTTACTCAAGTTCTCTCAAATTCTTATTAGTTTTATAAAATTGGAATTATAGCAGATTTAGAGATGAATAAAAAGAATTGACGCCTTTATAATATTGAGTCATCTTGTTGAAGAACAAGGAATGGGCTTCAATTTATATGAATATTTTATTGTTCTTCAATAAAGTTTTAGATTTTTATTATTGGTGGGGAGGAAGATTATTCTACAGTAAAGAATTCATTTTTTTAATGCTGATCCTATACTTATGCTAACTTTGTTTCTAGGTGCTTTTTCTTTGCATCTTTCAAATTGTGTTAAAGAGGCAGTTCTTAAACAATGATTTTCACTTTGCCCCAACGGCAATGCAGATAATATATTTAAAAGCACTACAAAAACGTTCTGTCAATTTTAGCCTCTTTTTATTAGGAAACATTCCCAAAGATAAATATTGTGGCCTTGACTACAACCATTTTTTTCACTTAAAAAATGCAGTTTCACTCCGTTTTCCATCTGGCCTATTTTAAAATAGAAATAGAGAGACATATTTCAATGTGAAATCAATTCTAAATAGAGACAAGATCAAACATGTACGAAATTTCACAACTGTGAGCTGAACAGTTCAAGTCCTAGAAAATTATCCAAACTTTGCAGATATAACCATCACTCAAGAGAAACCATTGTCCACACAATTAGGGCTCAGAATCATTTAAAGTGATAGATATGAGGAATGGAAAGAACAGAAATATTTGTTTGTGGTTTTCCTACTGTCCCACTTTTTGTGATGAATAAGCAAATATTAAATAATTTTCATTAAATACATCAACATAAAATTAAACTAGTTTTCTCTCAAATTTTAGTCCTCAAAAGAACACCCAGAGTACTTCATATTATTTTTACTCTGCATTTAATATAAATTTCTTACAATTAAAATACTGACAGGGAAAATAATATATTGCCTATTTTAGACTTATTTAAATACTTTTTCTACAAACAAGCCCTTACCTGATAGTTTGGTGGACACATTGGCTTATCTCTTGCTCTAATTTAAAAGCAAAGTCACAGGAAAACTCTTTCTGCTCAATTTTCAGCTTCTTAAATCTGGCCCAAATCAAAGGTATTATAATAATTGACTTACTGTCATCATTTGTACTGTCATTCACATTTGATGCAGTAAAATTTTGCTTTGGGTCTCAATTAGCAGCCAATGTCTATGTGCAAACATCTCTTAAATCTTTTTTTAAAAAAGTTATTCTCATGTAGTCTGAAGGAGGCATTATTTGAAGTGGAAACAGAACTTTGAGGTTATAAAAGTCAAGAATCCTAGAAAGCCTATGGTGCCAGATCCATTAAAAAATGTTTTTATATAGTGGAAATAGTGCAGACTAAAACTAAAATGAGTGTCCTTTAATATCTACAGAATTGTACTTTTTCAGAAGTTGATAATGTTGGAGAACACTGGGAACATATGCATGCTTAATAGTGTATGTTTTGGTACAGCCTTTCTTGCAGTAATTTACATATTCTCTGACCCAAGAATTTTAATTCTAAAATTTCTTCTAATGAAATAATCACAGAAATGTACAAAATCACATATGATGAATCAACTATGTTCACTGGAACACTGTTTATAATAATGGGAAATTGGAAATTACCCAAAAGTCGGTAATAAAATAATTGGTTCAATAAATTTCACATGATGGGAAACTCTGCAGCCATTAAAATGATGATGCAAATCTACATTTATTTAATTACAAAGAGGGTAACAATATAATGATGTTTAGTTGTTAAATCCGGTGGTCAATTCTTATATGAATTGGACAGCTCTCCTTGATATACTTCTTTGTGTGGTTTCAGGATCCCATATCCTCTGGCTTTTCTCCAGCCTCACTGGTTCCTCCTCCTCTCCCTTACTGTTGATGTGCACCCAGTCCTCTTCTCTGTCTGTACTCACTTATTTGGTGAACTCAGAAAAAAATACAGCCTTTGAGCACATGCGTGAGAACAATTCTCAGATTTATATCTCTAAACAAGCCTTCTCTCCCAAACCCCAGTTCCATTTATCTGCTGCCTACTCAGCACTGCCACTTGCATCCTTATAAACGTCTCAACAGGCTCAAAATCGAATTCCTGATCTCCCACAAACCAGCTCTACCCACAGAATTCCCTATCTCAGCTAAAGGTGACTACAGCTGTACATTATTATAGTTGCTCAAGACAAAAACCTTGCAATCATCTTTGACGCCTCACTTTTTGACACACCCTACATTCACTCTGTCAGTAAAACCTGTTGGGTCTATCTTCATCTCCACTGCCACCCAGGCCCAAGCCACCATCGTATCTCACCTGGATTATGGGAGTAACTCCTAAATGGGCTCCCTGTTTCAACCCTTGCACCCTAGAGTGTGTTCTCAATACAGCAGCCGTATTTTAATATGTAAGTCAGATTCTGTCACTCCTTTTATATTTCATTTAATATAAAAGCCAAAGCCCTTACGAGGCCAATTTTCCTATTGCTCTTTCCAGATAGCACAGGTCTTCATGGTATTATTTCAGCCCATCGAGTATGTGGGAAAAGGACTTTGCCCTTAGTTTGAGTTCTAGCTCCATTACTAGTGTGCCTCGAGACGTTAGTTTCCCATCTACAGAATAAGAATCATCTGTCCTGTCTACCACACAGGATTAAGGTGAAAGTGCTTTTTAATCCTAAAGGCTTCTCTAAGTACAAGGGTTATTATAATTTTCAAATATCACTTCTAAAACTTGTCTCATTTGCTTGAGAAGTTTTTGTTATGTCTAGTCCCCTGTTTATGTATGGTCAATTCAGACAATAGTTCCTTTTATGTCAGGCACTCTGAGGATATGTGAGTAGCCAGGTCATGGTCTCTCAAATAATTTGCATATATGTATATATATATTTGCATATGTAGAGATAGGTATAATAGACATATATCCTGCAACAAACTGCTTTATCCCAGTTACTCAATGTGGAGGTCACTTGTATTTCAGGGTCGTCCTTGGCTATCTTGATGACCCAAGTGAGGACATTCAGGATCCAGTGAGTGACAAATTCTTCAAGGAGGTGTGGGTTTCAACAGCAGCTCGAAATGCTACAATTTATGACAAGGTGAAGTTCACATATTCCTCCCCCCTTTCTTTTCACTGAATCTCATCACAAAAAGCATATTGTTATTTCTGCATATTATCGGTACAGGGTATTCTTAATACATGTAAAAAAGCTAATACATTTCCAGGTTGTAATAAAATGCCTCTTTGTGGACCCTGAAAAACAACAGCAAAAAGCATCATGGATTTTGGTTTAGAAAAGTCTTTAGCAGCATTCTAATCTCTCCTGTGATGCAGGAATCCCATCGGCAGCATCCTTAGCACCTGGTTACCCAGTCTTTGTACATGTCTAGTGACAAAGAGAAGAGGGGCAGATGGCATCAAAAAATAAGCCACAGCTGAGTCCAGCCTAGCTCAAGTTGCTGGTATTATAACCTTGTATATAGTGACTTGCCTTTCTGAGTCTCTTTTTCCTCTCCTATAAATTGGGAGGAATATTCACAAGGGTAGTTATGAGGACAAAGAATAGTCTAGTGAATGTTTTTGGCACATAGTGTATAGCAAACAGTATTCATCCTTATGATGAAGCTTGTTAATATTAATAACAAGACATGTCATTTGTTGGACAGCTCTAGTTTTAGAAAGGTGTTTTAACACCAGCTCCATTTGATGCATACCAAATGTATCGCCTGTGAAGTCTACCCTTTGGTTATAATAAAAAATGTAAAAGAGTTCAGAGTTGTGTAACAGTGGAACAAGTTACTTCAAAAAGTAGCTAGTTGCCCATCAGGGAAAAATATACAAGCTGTGTTCTAGCCAAGACTAATTGACCATCTGTGAGAAGCTGGATACGTCTGTGTTCTTCTTCATGATTTCCAGGTACAGACGTGAACCTCTTTTAAAAAAAATTAGGGAAAATACGCAATTTTTGTCTTAGAGCTCCTTCCAGCAGAGAGACTTATTATTCTTACTGAAACGTGTCTACTATCTGTATAACCTTATTTCTTTTCTTTTCTTTCTTTCTTTTTTTTTTCTTTAAATTGACATGGAGTCTCGCTGTGTTGCCCAGGCTGGAGTGCAGTGGCATGATCTCGGCTCACTGCAATCTCTACCTCCTGGGTTCAAGTGATTCTCCTGCCTCAGCCTCCCGAGTAGCTGGGACCACCACACTCGGCTAATTTTTGTATTATACAGGCTGGTCTTGAACTCCTGACCTCAAGTGATCCACCCGCCTTAGCCTCTCAAAGTGCCGGGATTACAGGCATGACCCAATGCTCCTGGCCCCTGTATAACCTTATTTCATCCTGAGGACTGAAGGCTGTGATCAAATAGGTCATGTGCATAGAGTCATTAAAATGTAATTTTACAAATACAGTGCACAGCCTTATTTGAGTCCTGGATTTGGGGGAAAACATCTATAAAAGACATTTTGGGGATAACAGGATAAATTTGAATACGAAGCATAACTTAAATGACATTATATAATTAATTTTCTTAGGTGTGAGAATAGTATTGTGATTATATAGGCACATGTCCTTATTCTTAAGAAATACATGCAGAAGTATTCAGGGGTGAAGTGTTATGATATCCAAAACTCATTTTCAACTGGCAAAGTAAGTGTTACATATTAACAATTGATAATGCTATGTAAAGGCACAGATATGAACCTCTTTCAAGAAAAGTTAGGGAAAATATAACATGCAATATTATTCTTAGACCAGAATCTCCAGTGAAATCCAGGGATGATTATTATAAAAAAAATTAACTTTAATGTGGGGTAACATTAGTGTAATTTCTTGCCACTAGCCATGACTTTTTTAAATGGAAGCAAATCTACTTATGTGTAGCACGTAAGATAACCAACTCTTAAATCAGGTCTGTGCTGTAACATAAGACTAATAATATGCTTCATACAACAGAGGTCTTGTCTGTTGGAATAATTATTTTCCATAAAGGGCATGTGCTCGCTCTTAAACTTTTTGTTCATTTTTCTATTTATGTTCTAATCAGGTGTTCCGGTGCCTTCCCAATGATGAAGTACACAATTTAATTCAGCTGAGAGACTTTATAAACAAGCCCGTATTAGCTAAGGAAGATCCCATTCGAGCTGAGGAGGAACTGAAGAAGATCCGTGGATTTTTGGTGCAATTCCCCTTTTATTTCTTGTCTGAAGAAAGCCTACTGCCTTCTGTTGGAACCAAAGAGGCCATAGTGCCCATGGAGGTTTGGACTTAAGAGATATTCATTGGTAGCTCAAGGACTTCCACCCTGAAGACCACACTGCACACAGTGACTTCCTGGAGGTGTCATAGCCAAAGCCAGGCCCGATGCATTCTCGTATCCAACCCAAGGACCTTTTGGAATGGCTGGGGAGGGCTGCAGTCATACTGATGTAAGGACTCTGAACGTCAGCAAGGCTTCATAATTCCTTCTGCCTAACCTTGTAAAAAGGGAGCTGCATTCTTGTTGGTTGCATGTACTCCGTTGAGTATATACATATACTCATTTGAGTATGTGTTGAGTAAAACACATATTCAAATTCCATAACATATACCAAAACCCGTTTCCTTTGTAACAAGAATTTACCTATAACTGTGATCTAGATTGCCAAAAGATGTCTGAATCTCCTTATTCTTCTCTGATCTTCATTTATACAGCCAGTGTATAGCTGGACCTGCCCTCATCTTGCAGTTCATACAGGCACTGTTTGAGAAATTGTTTATTACTAGAAGTTGTAATGCTGCTTCAAGATTTTTCATGGTTACCTGGGATGCCCCTGCTCATCTGGTCCTGAAGTAGTAACATTCACCCAAATGATGACATATTCCTTATTCCTTTTCAGTCATTGTACGAACAAGGCAGACTTTAGCCTACACAGTAGACTGTGGTAGGCACTTCTGATAACATTGATACTATATCTTGACACCACGAAGCAACAGGAAGGAATAACTTCCAATACTGAGACAGAGATTTATTTCATTTTGCTCCCAAAGGCATTGACAAGATGAGTCCTTGTGATTAGGCCCACCTGATCAAATGTAAAAACATGCGTGGGATATTTGATTACATAGCAACCAGATAAAAACTGAGAGCCCACAGCCTTCGGAAACCCCCAAGGTGTCAAGGGGGATCAGATCCAGATAAGAGAAGATGATTCCTTCTAGTCCTATAAAATTTCCTGTCATCCTTAGCTGCTGGGTTGATTGAAATTTGATTTCTACATTTCAAAATCAAACCAGTGAATACAATTTGTCTTCTCAAGAGAATCAGAGGCATCATAACTCCTACCAAACTAGTATGAGTCTAACCTTGTTTGACATTCAGCTCTACTGCTACATAATCTTCTTTGAGAAAAATTAATTGATTATAAAATATGTGCTATTTCACTTGTATTATTAAATATATATTAACCCCTCTCCCCAGGGCTTCCAGTGAAGTTACAATGCCCTAGTCTGTGAATTATCCTGGAAATGTGTTTTTCCTTTTCGGATGATAGAGTACCCTTTGGTAAACTAAATTTTACTAAGCAGAACAACTCTGACAGTCTGAAGAGTTAATGTGGGTTCTCATAAGGCCTGTCCCTGTAAAACAAAGTGCAGGTGTAATGATTATACGTGTCTATGGATTACCTGGACAGACTCCCGTTTGGGTTGTTCTTCAGAGAAGCAAGCAGCTGATCCCTGTTTTCATGAAGCTAATACTTCAGTTGGAAAAATTAAACAGGAGCACAAAGTCAGGGATAGGGGTTAGTGGAAGAGAGAAATAGTGTCACATCAAGGAGAGGATCTCATAGCTAGGGAACATTTCACAAATAAGGTGAGATTTTGTAACCAATAATAAAAATGAATGTTTTTATAAGTGAATAACTTATTTTTCATATGGCTATAGATGGTAAAATGACTTCATTCTATAGCCATTGTAAATAAGAATTTGCTATTGATGAAAGAAGTTTAGATTGGCATTTGAAGTATTGAGTGTATAGGATCGCTAAGGATTTCTTAGATTTTATATTTAAATATTTTTTAAACCTTAGAGGAAACAACAAACTGGCTCTTGATTTTGAGCACCCTACTCTCATGAAAAATAGAAGGCTGAAAGGACCCTTTCCCTTATAAGTAATTTAATCCAATTTCTCCCCATTTTATACATGAGGAAACTGAGGCTCAGATCAGATGAGGACTCACTTAAATCCACTCAATATGTAGATGGTAGAGCTGGGACTAGCAATATTGCTGCAGCCTACTGTTGGCCTCTCTCTTCACTTTATCATTGCCCAAGAATAAGGATATGCAGTAAACAGATTTCAGGCAAGATATCTCTAAGCTGTTTTGAACCCTCTGATATTTTGTATTTATCTGTTCGTCTGTCCCCCCTACTAGAATGTAAGCTCCATGGGGCAGGGACTTCACTGTATTTTGTTCATAGTGTATACCCAGAACCTGGACCAGTGCTTGGCACATAGAAGATGTCAATAAATGCTTGTAGAATTAATAAACAAGGTGAAGGAGAGAGCTAATGAAATGAAAACCTTAGCTTCATATAAGAAGTCTTACTACTGCTTTCTATGGCAAGTTTCTTTTCTTTTGCATCTTCCCAATGGCAAGATGCTTATCTGCAAAGAGGTGATAAGATTTACTTGGAGGGATTTTATGGAAAATTCAGTGCAATATTTGCTTTTTTTTTTTTTGCAGTAGCAGTTTACATAGTACAGCATTCTGCAAAAATTGCATGAAATGTGGACACAAGATGTACTGTATGACTTAATTACCTGTCATTCTCTGACACCATTACTACCTACTAGAAGTTCAAATAATTTATCTTTAACATTGCAATATCTGATAAACCTTTTAAAATGTGAATAATTCAAAGCCTTGAAAATCTATCATGAATCTGCTCAACATTTCAAAGTGACTATTTTGAAATGCCTATAAATGCTGTATACCTGACATCCTGCTAATTTCTGTAATAATTTTTGTTTTCAAGGGGGAAAAATTCTAGTATTACAAAAAATGAATGATGGAAAGTGGCCATGGTCTATTAAAGCTATTCAGATTGGCCATGGTCAGTCAGTCATCGGAGGATAGCCTTAGCATAGCAAGTCTGGTGCAGGCATTTGTTCTAAATCTAGTGTCCAGCTCGTGACTCACCCTTCAGTGGGATGTTTTTAATTCCCACCTGTAATGCATCACAGGGAGGCATGTAGAGCTGGTCATTAGATAATTGTGTGGCATACTGGAAAACAAAATGTTTATTTTCAAAGCACCTTTGAAAGGAAATTTCATCTATAGGTCCTCAAAATATGGACAGTTAATTTCTTATGTAAGAACTTAGGAAATTATAATATCATGAATTAATACTTTTCCAGATGAAAACAACAAGCTGAGAAGTCATTTTGCAGATGTAAGACTAGGAAAAATAGATGTTATGTATATAGAGCCTGAACTTTTTCTGCATCTCTCCTCATTTCTTATATATTTTTTCTTTTTCTTTGTTTCTTTTCTTTCCTCTCTTTCTCTCTCTTTTTTTTTTTTTTTTTTGAGCCTGGGTCTTGCTCTGTGGCCCAGGCTGGCAGTGGTGTGATCTCCACTGCAACATCTGCCTCCTGGGCTCAAGCAATCCTCCCACCTCAGCCTCCTGAGTAGGTGGGACTACCGGTGCATGCTGCCACACCCAGCTAATTTTCGTATTGTTTGTACAGATAGCATTTTTCCATGTTGCCTAAGCTGGTCTCGAACTCCTAAGCTCAATCTCTCCACCTGCCTTGGCCTCCCGATGCCAGGCATTCAGATTGCTTGAGCTCCCTCCCCTGTGCTGGGATTGCAGGCGTGAGCCACCACACTGGCCTCCTCATTCCTTATTCCTTCAGTCTCTATCTCCTACCACAGCACCTTCTTATTATGTAAAAATTATTTCAGAAGACAAGAACAAGTATCCTGGAAAAAAAAAATTAGGCCTTATATTAGTCTGCTCAGGCTGCCAAAACAAGATGCCCTAGACTGGGTGGCTTACACAACGGAAGTTTATTTTCTCACAGTTCCAGAGACGGGAAGTTGGAAATCAAGGTGCCTGTATGGTAGGTTTCTGGTGAGGACTCTTCCTGGCTTCTCGGCCACCTTCTCACTGTGTGCTCACATGGCCTCCTCTTTGTGTGAGCACAGGAGGCAAAGGGCAAACTCTCTGGTGTCTCTTCTTCCAAGGCCACTAATCCCATCATGAGCACCCTACTCTCATGACGTCATCTAACTCGACCTCCCAAAGGCCCCATTTCCAAATACCATCACATCAGAGATACGGGCTTCACATGAGCTGGGAGGGAAGACACAAACATCATTCAGTCTATAATAAATATTCACTTAACTCATACTTTAAAGTGACTGGCAAAATACAATTTTTTCACACAGGTCATTGTTCTTTTTAACTTCCCTGATCTGATGTGGCACCTGAGCATTTTCTGGTACCTGTCACCCTCTGTAGCAAGGATGACAAGGACCCATCATGTCTCCTTATTCCTCTACTATTTCAAAAGGAGCAAATGCTAAAGGATTTTAAGTGTGCTTAGTATATATTTGTATTTCCTTGGAATATTCATTGAGGTCAATTACTACTGAAGTTTGGTGATCTAAAATGAGTTTACCCAGGCCTGGGCCTTGAGAAATTCTTGAATCTAGAAATCCACTGGAAAAGGAATTCATCTGCCTGTATGAATAAGAGGCAAGTAGAAGAATCAATAGATTTGCATTTTTTTTAAAAAGGGGCAAGTAGGTAATATGATTCTTACTGTCAATTTAATTCATATGTAAGATGTTCCTGGTTTTCACTTGAGATTGGAAGGATTCATTAAAGGATCAAAAATTCCCAGCTTAATTTTATAGGTTATTTTATTTTTCCTTTATACCATTTATAATTTTTAACTTAAAAGTAATCAAACACTGGATAAATGAAAATCTATCACATTAAATTTATTATTTTATTTTATTTTATTTTTAAGATAGAGTTTCACTCTTGTTGCCCAGGCTGGAGTGCAGTGGTGCAGTCTTGGCTCACTGCAACCTCCACTTCCTGGGTTCAAGCAATTCTCCTGCCTCAGCCTCCCGAGTAGCTGGGATTACAGGTGCCTGCCACCACAACTGGCTAATTTTGTTGTTGTTGTTGTTTGTTTGTATTTTTAGTAGAGACGTGGTTTCATAATATTGTCCAAGCTGGTCTTGAACTCCTGACCTCAGGTGATCCACCCCCTTGGCCTCATTACAGGCGTGAGCCACTGCGCCCAGCCACACTAATCATTTTAAACCTTTAAGTTTTAGAATTAGATTGAATGGTAGTCCGATCAAAACATGGGCTTAATCACTCTTCCCTATTTCCAAGCAACTATCATTCTTCACTTTATTCTAGATGAGTGCATTTAAGTGAATGTCATCCTAGTTCTGTGTAATGCTAAGAAATACAACATCATACTCTCCCAATGTATATTCCACTTGGATTCTTCACATAAAATGGACTAGACCAACAGCACTGATGCTCTGCATTTTAAAAATTCATTTCAAATTATTTCAGTTGGAGCACACACACACTCTGACACAAATAGCAAATATTGGGTGATGAACATCCATTCAGAATATCCAGATATTCTGGAGAGAACTGGAGCTCACAGCCTTCCCTCCAGGGCAAGTTTGGCAAACTAAGTCTAGGCCTCCTCTTTTTGTAAATAAAACGTTATTGAAACACAGCCACAACCATTCACTTATATCCCATCACGATTGTATGATCCATAAATCCTAAAATATTACGATCATTAAGACAAAATTTGCTGATCCTTCCTACAGAAAGCAGAAGATATCCAGACAGGGTACCTCATTCAGACAGACTTGCAGGAGTTTTAATCTCCTCCGTTAGCAGAGTTTTCAATTCTCCCTATCCCAGGCCCCAACAATTTACAATGTGTTTATTATACGAACACAGCCAAGTCCTTTCAGGAATTAAAATTACATGGTTTTTTTGGTTCTGGAAAGAGAAGTAGTCGGCTAAAGCAGCTATCTCCCAGACAAGCACTCATCAACATGCATGGTGGAACATGCTTGTAACTGAAGTGTAATGAAGATGAGGAGGGATAGGCCTAGGTGTTTGTATTTATAATTGGAATTGTGAAATCAAGAAACTTGTTTTCTCTGAATTTTCCTTCTGTGAAGTGTTGGAAATGATACATGTATCCCTTCGTAACTTCACAGTCAGTGCTTTCTATATCCCTTAACTACTTTTTCTTTAAATATCAATTAATTGAGCAATTATAAGTGTGAAATCAGCAATGTCCCTCTATTTGAAAATAAGATTCCTCTTTCCGCATGTGGGGCTTTTGGAGCCAGTATGCTGTATGTCTCAGATGAAGACAGCAATGTGTGCCTCTAGAGACCTCCTCTGCACACAAGCATGGGTCCCCCCGAAGGCCCGTTATAGATTCAGAGTGCATTACAGAGGCATAGCTCCCTGCCCCCTGCCCAGGCCTCTCTCACCTTAAAGTGTGCTGATATCATGATGAGGTGAATTTCTTTTAAAAGACTAACGTGGCATTCGATAAGAACATATTGAGCAGTGCCCAGTCAGGATGCTGGGGTCGCACCAGTAAACAAGTCAAACCAGGTTCTCCTCCTTTGTGGTGCTCTCCCTTTAGCAAATGGAGATTACAAAGCTATTTCCATCCTGAACATAAGAAAATGCATGAAATAAGATGCAATTGGGTGGAAGTGTAAGAATTTTCCCAAGCTAGGGAGAATGGCAAAGACTGATAAATGCTGAAGACACCAGAGTATGAACCAGGAAGCAACAATATTACTAGTACCAATAACAATAATAATAGTTAAGATTAGTAGTGGCTTTGTTGGTCACAGCCTCTTCTAGGCACTTCACATTTTAGTTCATTAACTACTTTGATAACTGGCTGTCTGCAGCTCAGGGGGCCAAACATACACCAGTGCTCTCTGAACTCTGAGACTGGCTTCCACCTCCACTTAAAGCCCCTGCAGCCTTACATATAACCCCCAGGCCCATGAGGTATAAGTGTGGAACTAACCAGCAAGTAGTAGTGGGAAGAGCATGGGCTTCAACATTACTGAGCTCACCTAAAAGCTTGGCCTTACCACTTGCCAGCAGTGAGAGTTCCTTGAGCAGGTGAACCTCTCTGAGGTTTTCAGCAGCGTGGTAATAAGGCCATGGAAGACCCAGCAAAAAGCACAGTGTCCAGCATATAGTGGGTGCCTTCTAGCAAATCAGTGCTAGCTGCTGCAACTATCTTTCACTATTCTCTTAAAGTAAGGGCATCTTGAAGGGAGAGGACACACACAACCCATGACCACATCTTTGGTCTGGATGTTAGGTCATCCAGACCAAACTGCCGAAGAAACTAGAAGAGCTACTCAACTGAACCCAGCCCAAAACGCTGACCCACAGAATTAGAAGCAAATAAAATTGTCCCTATCTTAGCCACTAAGTTTTAGTGTGGTTTGTGACACAGCAATAGATCATTGATGAAGTCAAGCTTCTTCAGGGTAT